CCGAATTTCGCAAACGATGCAAAAACCTATCAAACCTCATCCGAATGACCTAAAATTTTGCACACACATCTCAAATGATACAACGGACCTACTCCAATTTCCTGAATTCCATTCCGACCCTGATATCAAAATTTCTACTGCCGACCGGGAAATGCCAAATTTTTAATTTCGCCAATCAAGCCTAATTCTACCACGGACCTCCAAATCACATTCCGGGCGTGCTCCCAAGTCTAAAATCAGCAAACTGAGCTAACCAAATCATAAAAATCCAAATTCGAGATCAAATACTAAAAAGTAAAAACTTGGTCAAACCTTTCAAATTTAATGCTTCAAGCTGAGAATCAGTCTTCCATATCTGTTCCGATTAACTTGAAAACCAAAGCCGACAATTTACATAAGTCATAATACATCATACGGGGCTAGCCATGCCCGAGAATTGGCGAGCAAAGTATAAATGCTCAAAATGACCGGTCGAATCGTTACACCAACCAAAATGCCATTGACAGAAGAATAAAAAGTTTGCTGTCCAGGTTGGTGCCAGGCGCCAAATGGCGTATTTTGTCCTAATTCGACTGGGACTTGGTGATTTCAACCCTACACGCCCCAACATGTATAAAAGAGGTTCTAAACTTATTTTTGGGGGGTTGGACATTCTTTGGAGGCGAGAACAAGACATAGAACGCTCGGGAGAAAGGATTCTTAGTTTTTCTTCATCTTTCTTAGTAGTTTCAATTATTCAACACTTATGAAATTGTTTGATATTATCATGAGTAGCTAATATCCATAGTTTCGGGGTTGTGATTTAGCCATGAATATTCGCTGACTTAACCTAATTACAATTCACCAATATATGGATGTTTCTTCAATTCTGTGATTAATTGCTTAATTATTTGGCCAGCAGTTAGGTTCTATGTACTATCTATGCTCTTCTTGGGAAAGTCGTGTTTAGATTAGAGAAGAATTGAAGAGAGCATGATCTTAACTCTGAGGGGGCAGATTTGTGGTTAGGATAGGAATATACCTAGTCACCGTGCTTAACTAAATATCGTAATCTTAACGCGTCCTTCATAGATTGATTTCATAGGAATATAGGCGGTTAATCTATTTTGAATAGGCGAGTAGTACTTCGGGAGAAGACTACGAGAGAAATTGTTCGATTAATTAGCAACCATGAGTGAATTGTATGAAAGGGAGAGTTAACTAGAACACAATAGGATTGGTGAATCGATCAGAACCCTGGAATATTCGTCTCTACTGAATACACAACAACCATTTTGCTGCTTGATAACTTAGTTACTAGTTAGAATTATTGTTTAGTATAATCACACTTTTGAACTTTGATCAACTCGACTTAAGAACAATTTTGGTAAATTTAGTGGGTAGTAAATACAAGTTTTTGTGGGTTCGACACTCGACTTATCATTTTACTACTTGTACGATCACGTATACTTGCGTGTGCGTTTGGAAGTGACAGTCGTCAATCTCACCTGACTTATATGCATCGTTTTGGGCATCACTGTCAGAATCATCACCCCCTTCATCGACATGAGCATCAGCTTCAACACGAGCAAGTATATCTGAAATTTTTGGGATTTTTGAGATTTCAGTATTCACAAGTATGATGGCTGCATTGCCGGTTCCTGCACCATCTCCAAAATTATGACAATAATAATTTTCAGTGGAATATTATGTGCCAAAACTAGTAAAACCATGGCCATAACTACTAGGTGCTAGGTCTATTTTTGGTGATGTACTTTGTGATAACAAACTTGTAAAACTACAAAATTCTGAATAACTACTCAGTAGATCAGTACATGGCACATAAGCTTCGGTTGGAGTTTCATTAAGATTTAAAAAGGGCACATTAGAAATCAGAGATGACTCATGAAAATATTTGAGGCTTAACAACCTCCCATAATTCAGTTTTAATAAACATCTCAAGCACGTCAAAATTAATCATATGCCTTTGTCTATCAGGTGCCCTAAAAAATCCTGCAATAACTCACTATCAATAATAGGAATTTCTAAATATTGAGCAATACCCTATGTGGTATGATATGGCCACCTACTAGAGATAACAAGTGTTACCTCGTTAGGGTTAGTTTTCTTCATAATATGCAAGTCCCTAAGTAGCCACTCATACTCAACATTCAGTGGAAGTTTCACAATGGAACGAGCACCACAATTATATCTAATTGTATCAGCTTCATAATTTATCTCATCGCCCCAATACAGTGCAACCCTTACACGATGATCAATAGACATTTTGAAATCTACATAAAGAAGCAATTTTAATCAATAAATAATACCAGGATTTGACAATTACATTACAAACTATGAAAATAATACTAACCTTTTTTTCAAATTTAGTATATTCAAACATACCATATACAACATGAAATTGCATCAGTTATATATAGAATCCAAATGCATGTATGCTAGCAATTTTTCATCAAATGCGCATTCATACGCAAACCTTCCATTTACACAGAAGGCGCGATCTGACAATGAGCCTTCCTTAAACTTGTAATGTCAGACATTTATCATATCAACGTCAGATATTTTACAAAGAAAAGTGCGTCTGGAGATTGATCCTTCTGTGTAATTTCAAAAATGCACAGAAGGCGCATTTATTGAGTAAACCTTCCTTTTGATTTTAAAAATTACACCAAAGGTGCAATTAGTCAACACGCCTTCTTCTCAAAATATAGTTTAGGGTCCATCAGGTTTGGAGCGTTAAAATTACAAGAAGAAGAAGGCTCGCTTACCTTGCGTGCCTTCACCGTTAATGTAAAAAGAGACAAAAAGAAAAAAAGAACCGACAACCCCATATATTGAAGTGGTGCTCCATTATCTACCATTTAAGTCGAACCTTACCTTATCTCTGCTCTCATCTCTTGCATTGTTTTGCATCGTAGCTTTTTCCATCTGATAGCTTGTTTAGTTGATTGTAGCAGAGAAAATCCTGAATGTGAAACTAGGGATGGCAAATAGGGCGGGGCGGGGCGGAGTAGGGCGGGTGAAGCTTTGCCCTGCCACATATTTCACCTGCCCTGCCCTGCCCTGTCCCGTTAAACAACTTTTCTTTTTTTAACCTGCCCTGCCCCGCCCCGTTTAGCCCTGCCCCGCCCCGCCCTGTTTAGCTTATATTTTTTTCCTTCATTTTTTAAGTTCTGATCATGTTCTTACTTATTTGAACGGGTCTGATTCTAATTTCGATTCGAGCAAAAGTAAAAGCAAACTAAGTCAAGAAATTTAATAACCTGTAAAATCTAAAACTTGTTAAATGAAAGGAAACTCTAATAAACAAACAAATTATAGTATGTGAGGAAACTAAAGCCTGTACTTCATAAGATGTATATTTGTTTGGGAATATTTTACAAGTACTTGAAAAAGAAATTAGAGTGTGTAAATAATAATAATAACCAAACCAACATAATATCATGTTTGACTCAATAAATGTTCATGAAAGTTTGGAGTTGGAAGGACCAAATATCTTACTAAAGAGAAATCAGATTGTCTGCTCTATGGAATTTACTTGATGTATCAGTAAAACATTTAAGCTTATTAAACTAAATGCAAATAATAAAGTAAAAAAGAAAAATAGAAAATAACAAATTAACAAGTTAGTGATACTTCCACCAATACGCAATCCATTTGCATGTTCCCAGTGAAAATACTGCATTCTAACGACAGTGTAAACTATGAATTATAGGAGTAATTCATAATTAATGCTATAAATTATTACACACTAAATTCATAACTAAGGAGGTATACAAAATCTATAGGCAGCACACTAGCACACTGTATTGAAAAATGAAAAAGTTTCACTTTATTTTTTATCAATTTTGCAGCCAAAACTCTTGCCCTGCCACCTGCCTTGCTCCATTTATAATTTTCTAAAAATATACTTTGACCCGCCCTACCCTGCCCTACCCTGCCTTGCCCTACTTTTGCCCTACCCCATTGCCATCTCTATGTGAAACAAGAACTAGTCACCACTTCACAAAAGCTATTTTCATATGAAAAAACAAGTAACTCCTTTACTAATATTATTAGCAACATTATCATCACTTCGAAAAGGACATTCTTTTTTTTTGATACTCATTTTGGATTTCCCTACTCTGCATGTTTGTATTTGTTTGCTGCAAACTGCGCTCATTCTCACTCTTCGGCTTCTCAAGAAGGATAATATACGTTAAAGAAATTTTTGTGCAAGCTGAAGCCACTCTAAAGCAAACCATTGGAAGATTATAATTTATCGAACCTTGCATTCCCAACTGAATCATAGCCAAAGCTGGAGTTGAATGGGGCCTGAATCAACTCTCTGGGGTAACTCAAGTGTGGGAAGATCTTGTCAATCCATTGAACAATTGAAAGAAACATTAGCTATATATTGTTCTCTTTCTAGTTTCAATCTCATCTATATATTTGCTGAGAGGATTGCATGTAGAATGAGTTGGCTAGACGATAACTGTATCATCTAGTTGCATTTCAATTTTGTTCCAGTGGAAACTGATCTCAAGAATGACAGAAAAAATCTTGATTCTGTTCCATACTCTTATTGACATCAACAAGATTTCTTTATAGCATACAATGGAGTCATTACAGTTTTAACTATTGGTAATAGAGCTGAAAATCTATAAAAGTACAATTTGTGAATCTGATAATTATCTAATTATCATAGTTCAAGCATAAAGAAATGAGTAGACACGTTGTGTATATATATAAAACGTGAAGAGCAGTAAATTTTCCTCATTTTTGTCCAACAAAGCTGCACCTTATTCAACTTCAGAACCAAGACATATTCACTTATATCTGTTAATATCTTTCACCAGTTACCACAAAACTAAACCGTGGATCTCCATCATTTTTGTATAATGTACTGTACAACAAGCTATTTGAAGCCCAAAACTAGTCAGTAGAAAAGAAAAACTTACAGCTGCATTAGGGAAATTTGGTGAGAAGCAAAATGTCAAATTTGATAATACCATCCAAACATTATTATATTCAAATACAGGAGGTTCTTCAAGGCTAGAAAAACATTCAATACCAGTTCCTGGTCAACCCCTCTTTGGTTGTTTGCAAGTTACTTTTAATATATATGCTAAATAAGCTTTAATTGCAGATGTTGTTTCAAAGGTTTTCCTGGCTGTGGTAATAAGTCTTCTGAGACCTTCTCTTTAACCTTTTTTTCCAAATGAACACCATACCATATACATCGAGAGTTGATTATGCAAAGTTTGAGGTTCACTGAAGAATACATTATACACAAAACTTGCTTCTCTCAAAATAAAAAAGAGAAGAGCACGATCATGAGCATAGTTACTGCTCAAGCATCATCATCATCAAGTGCAAGCACCCCGGAAAGCGGTATCCCCTCGAGAAGCTCCTTGCTGGCAAACCCTCCCATTGAAACGTGGCTCATCTTGTCCGCAAGCCCCACCTTTTCAACAGCAGCAACAGACTCGCCACCTGTTATGATTGTTGTTACTCCATTTCCACCAAGTTCTGCCAATTTTTTTGCAATAGACTCCGTTCCAGCAGCAAATTTGTCATACTCAAACACCCCCATAGGTCCATACCAAATGATAGTTTTGGAGGTATCTAGGGCTGCGCTGAAAGACGCGATAGCATCTGGTCCAATATCTAAACCCATCCAATTATGTGGAATTTTAGATACTGGAACAACCTTGCTATTAGCCCCGGCCGAAAACTTGTCTGCTATCACAACATCACCAGGAAGAATCAGAGATATACCATTTTCCTTTGCCTTTTCAATAAGTGATTTTGCTGGATCAAGCATTACGTCCTCTACAAGTGAGGATCCAACAGAGTAGCCTTGGGCCTTATAGAAAGTAAATATCAGACCTCCACCAAGGAGTAACAAGTTAACCTTATAATTCTCCAAAAGGTTCTCTATCACGCCAAATTTAGTTGAAAGTTTTGAACCACCAACAATTGCAGCAAATGGCATTAGTGGATTTTTTACAACTTCGGTAAGATAGCGAAGTTCCCTTTTCATAAGGAATCCAGCAACTGTTGGTTTTGGTTTTAAGCGGTCAGGAACCCCTTGTATTGAAGGGGATGATCTGTGTGCAGACCCAAAGTCATGATTGACATACAAATCTGCAAGGGACGCCATCTTATTTGCAAACTCGTCATCAAGAAACCTTTCTTCAGTGTGGAATCTCAGATTTTCCAGTAGCAGGACCCCTCCTTCTGGTATTTCTCGAACCATATAAGCAACTTGATGACCAATACAATCATTTGCTGTCTTGACCTCAACTCCCAATAGCTTTGACAGTTTTGGCGCAAGTGGCTTCAAGCTATACTTTGGTGTGATACCGATTGGACTACCACGATGAGAGGCAAGAATAACACGAGAGCCCCGTTGCATCAAATACTCAATGGTTGGAACAACGGCTCGGAGTTTGGTGTCATCGGGGATGTCATTGTAATTTTTGTCATTCAACGGAACGTTCAAATCAACTCTCAAAAAGACTCTCTTCCCCTTCAGATCTTCTTCTTTTAGAGAACCCACGCACTTCTTATTCATCACCCGATGAAGTTGTAGTCGTCTTCTTTCAAGTAACTGAAAAACAAGTGGATTATATTAGACGATCATGAGCAGACTGCTAAGTAATTCGTGACAAGGAAAAACTCACATTCCACCAAGTATGTCGACTATGGGAGGATTCCTCCCATTCTTGTTTTGACAATTGGAATTGCGCGTGCAACATGTTGATCAGGGAAGCAACTGGAAAGATAGAAAGTCTACAATTTTAATTTAAATGTGAGAAAAGTGCAGAAGAAATATATATTTCTTTATATAGTGTAGAGGCGGTTGTCTTGGACAACAAGTTTTAGGGTTTCCCCTAATAACGGCATCGTTCCAGAATATAGGGTCCAGCATACATATCTAATTGGGATCTTTGCACAAATAGTAGGCGAAATACATTCTTCTACTGAATAGAAATAATATTAAATCCGAATCCCACTAGGACTAGGATTTCAATCTAATTAGGCATTGTTTGGTTAAACTATGGACAAGTTGTTTAGTCTAAAGCTCCATCAAGATGAACCTTTCCTTTAACAAAAGTAAAAACTCTTTTCTTGTTATAAATAGAATTCTATTTATGATGAATGTCCATATTTAGAGAGATTCTAGGGTTTATTACTTGGTGGCTAAGTCAACCTCTCCCTATAAATAGAGGATTCTATCCATTGTAATTCATCCCAAATCAATAAGAATTCTCTCTCTCTACTTTTCTCTGCAATTCTTCTTCTTCTTTTATTGTTTTATAACACGAGACTCTAACCAATTGAGTAGAAGCTTTGGGATTGAGCATAATGATTGTTAATTATTCCATGAATTTCCTTCATGATTAAATTCTGGATTTAAGGTAAGTATTTTAACGTATTTTTCTCTTTTATTCTATACTTTGATTTTAAAATACTAGCAAAGACAATAAAGTTTGATTATAACTCTAATGGAGTTTGTAAGAAATTATAACCACCTGAAATGGTAAAATTTCTATGCCTCGCCGTGATCAAATCCATATATGATTGTGGGCAAAGAATTGAAAACCCGTCCCATTGAAACACTCTATAACTATTTTTCACACCACATTATGGAAGAAAGACTCCTATTTATAGGTGTAGGAATTCTTCAGTTATAAAATCATAGAGAACGTGGAATCATGGATAAATTAAAGTGTAATTGGTGGTAGAACATGAAGAAAAGTTACAAAAGAGTTATGGCCATTTTTACATCATGGAGTAGTGGGAGTTATAGCTATTTTCTGCATCATGAAGTAGTGAGAGTTATGGGAGTTATGGTCATTTTTTACATCATGAAGTAGTGGGAGTTATAGCCATTTTCTACATATGTAGTGATAGTTATGGGAGTTATGGTCATTTTTTACATCATGCAATAGTGGGAGTTATGGGAGTTATGACAATTTTTTATATCATGGAGTACCGGGAATTATGACATATTTTATATTAATAATAAAATGCTAATATACTAACATAGTACAAACTGATTGTATCACATTAACCAGGTTTTTAATTATTAATAAACGGATTGGAATTTAAGAGCTAGATGTGATATTGAAATCACAAGAAAAATTCTCGTTAGAGAGAACCTCTAGTAGGTAGTGTTTTGTCGCGATAATGCGCCAATTCAGCTTGAACTTGAATTAGTTGGCGCAACAAAATTTTGAATTAAAATATAATCACCAGAAGAATTGGGAACTACCTTCCCCATTCAAAGTAAGAAAAAAAAATGACACTTAAGCAAACAAAAAAGTATGTAAAATGTTCGAAACGCCATGAATTATAAACAAGATAAAAGAGAAAGATTAAGTACCAAATCATTTCAAACAAAATATTGGGCTTAATCCAAGGCCATGATCTTCCTTGATTGTTAAAAATGAAAAAGCCCAAAAATACCCCTATACAATAATAAATAGCGTAAATTTGCTTGATTTTATACAACATTGTTTACCCTCTTTTGTCTAGCGTTCTCTTCACTTTTCTGCTTCTTACAGAATCTGCAATCTCTCTTGAAGTGGCCCATTTTACCACAAGTATAACACGGTCCTTTTTTCTTGTTAGAAGAATTCTCCTTTGGAATAACCTCAAGCTTTCTCTTCCTTCCAGCCTTGTTTCCAGATTTTGCAGCAATATTTGCATTACTAGATTCAACACAATTCGCCCTTGAACTAGTTTCTGCAGAATATTTATTTTCATACTTTCGTGTCTCTTCTTCAATTTGAATATGCTTTGTCAACTGGTCCACATTATAGTCTTCTCAAGAATGTAACAATTTCTTTCTATAATATTTCCAAATGGCTGATAATTTTGCAAGTACAATAGCCACTTGGAGAGATTTACAAACATTGACTTTAAAATCTTTGAGTCTAGAAATTAAGACAAGAAACTCATCAAGCTGTTTCATGACAGATTTTTCATCTACCATTTGAAATTCAAAAAAATTCATTCCAAGAAATATGTTCCACTACTAGAAATTCGGGCAAAACCGTCCCAAAAAATCGAACAAAGTTGGTCGGTAATGGCCAATAATTGTCCAAAATGCAACCATTTACGTGTGGACGGTATTTTGAAGGTCGGAAGGGCATACCAACCAACTTTGGTCGGTCAATTAAATTCAAAAAAAAATTGTCGAAAAAACCGACCAAAGTTGGTCGATTTTTTCCGACCAAAGTTGGTCGATATTTTAATTATGTAATTAAAAAATGCACCATCTGAGAATCGAACCGGGGTCTGTACTGTGGCAGGATACTATTCTACCACTCGAACATTGGTGCATTTTGTTTTAAGATTGTCTTTTGATTTCATTTATACTCATTACTTGTATTTTCGCACGAAAATAACCGATCAAAGTTGGTCGGTTTTTAAAATGACCGGTCGAATTAACCAACCAATTTCGGTCGGTTTTTTTAATATTAATTTTAATTTATTTTAAATGAACAACTGATCAAAGTTGGTCGGTTTCTTGAAAAATAAATTTCGCGGGACTCAAAAATAGCTTTCTGCATTTTGTGCCAAAAAAAACCGACCAAAGTTGGTCGTTTTCGTAAAAAAAATTAAAAAATAAAATATTTTGAAAAACCGACCAACTTTGGTCTTTTTTTTACCGACCAAAATTGGTCGGTCGACCGTGGTCGGTTTTTGCCGAATTTCTGCTAGTGTTCGTTCCTTGTCTTACTGTAGTGTATTTATTTTCCAAGGCTTTCCGAATTTCAATATTCTTAGGATCAACTTTTCTGCCGATAGGACGTGCCCCAAGAAGGCGAATAAGTCCAACAAAAACTCACACTTTGAAAACTTGGCATATAACTTACTGTCTCTCAGAGTCTGAGTACAATCCGAAGATGCCGCTCATGCTCCTCTTGACTTCGGGAATAGATCAAACTATCATCAATGAATACAATCACAAAAGAATTCAAATAGGGCTTGAACACCCGATTCATCAAATGCATAAATATTGTTGGGGCATTTGTCAACCCAAATGATATAACTAAGAACTCATAATGCCCATACCGAGTCCGAAAAGCCATCTTAGGGACTTAGGATGCTCTAATCTTCAACTTATGGTAGCCAGACCTCAAATCAATCTTCAAAAATACCTTGGCACCCTAAAGCGGATCAAATAAGTCATCAATCCTCGATACTAGGTACTTGTTCTTGATAGTGACTTTGTTCAACTGTTGATAGTCTATACACATCCTCATCGACCCATCTTTCTTCTTCACGAACAACACAGGCGCATCCCAGGGCGAGACACTAGGTCTAATGAATCCCTTATCAAGCAAATCATGCAACTGCTCCTTCAATTCCTTCAACTCCAGCAGGGTCATACGATATGGTGGAATAGAAATGGGCTGAGTTTCCAAAGCCAAATCAATACAGAAGTCAATATCTCTATCGGGTGGCATCCCCGGCAGATCTGCAGGAAACACCTCTGGAAACTCACGGACAACTGGTACTGAATCCATGGAAGGAATCTCCGCACTAGAATCGCGAATATAAGCCAAATAAGCTACACATCCCTTCTCGATCATACATCGAGCCTTCACATAAGAGATAACCCTACTGGCATAATGGCCAGGAGTCCTCCTCCGCTCTAATCGAGGCAACCCCGGTATGGCTAAGGTCACCTTCTTGGCGTGATAGTCCAATATAACATGATAAGGTGACAGCCAATCCATACACAAGATACCATCAAAATCTACCAAATCAAGAAGTAGAAGATATACACTAGTCTCAAGACACCCAATAGTAACCACACATGAGCGATAAACACGATCTACAACAACAGAATCTCCCACAGGCGTGAACACATACACAGGAGCACTTAAGTAATCACGAGGCACAACCAGATATGAAGCAAAATAGGATTACACGTAGGAATAAGTAGAGCCCGGATCAAATAGAACTGAAGAATCTCTATGAAAAACTAGAACAATACCTGTTATAACGAAATCAAATGACTCGGCCTCAGGCCTAGCTGGGAAAGCATAAAATCGGGGATGGACCCCACCACTCTGAACTACGTCTTTGGGACGGACTCTAGTTGACTGGCCTCCACCTCTAACGGCATGGCCTCCACCCCTAACGGCCTGACCCCTACCTCTAGCAGCCTGACCCATGCCCCTATCTAGCTGAGCGGGCAGTGGAGCAACCGGTGCCGAAACTATGGCACGAGAACTCTGCTATGGCATGCCGTCCAATAATCTCAGACAGAACCTCCAAATGTGCCCAATACCACCACACCCAAAACACCCATCCTGCTACTATGGCTGCTGAAGCTGAAGCTGACCCGAATGGGCCGGATAACCATGGTGATTGTTACATCCCGTAATTTTATACGTTGGGTTTGTCGTAAGATAGTTGACATAGGTTCAAGGATAAAACTATTTTTAAGGTTATAATTTTTTATGCTATTTATAACAAGTGATAGGTATGTGACGTGAAAGTCATAGGGTAAACGGGTTAAAGAAAATGAGGTTGGACGAAGTTTGATATTTTGGGATAAAATACGGTCCAAGCTATAATATCCCGTATTTATGGACTAGTATTATACCACATGATCAAGATAATAAGGTATATGAAA